TTTTGAAGGTGGGAGAATGAAGGGAGAATATCTGAGGCTGAGGATCTGGCTGCCCTGGAACATAGAAGGTTCCCCACCCCCACCTCTAGGAATGGGAATCACCGATCAGAGAGGGTGGCCCTGGTTGTGTGGTTCTCACAGTCAGAGAGCTCTGCCACCCCACCCCACCTGCCAATCACACCAAACTTGGACCTTAGTCCCTTCTTGGTATCGCTAGGAGTCCTGAGAAAACTTAGGCATCCCTCATCAGGCACCAGACTCAGACCCAGGGATTCTCCATCCCACATCCTCACCCACCTCCACTCCATCTTCTCATCCTCCAGAGTAGGACACACCATTCCATCTCTAACCTCGAGAGCTCAGCAGTCTTCCTGTTCCTTCCCCTGATGCCACACCGCCCCTCACTCCAGCTCTCTCTCTCCGGCTCCAGCTTCGAGTTTCTCAAGCTGTTCAGGGAACTTTCCCCTTGTTACATTATCATTCCTCCCTGCCCGTGGTCCTCCATCTCCCTCATAGGCTTCATAGACCCAGTTCATCAGGCTGTGTGTGTGTGTGTGTGTGTGTGTGTGTGTGTGTGCGCGCACGCACAATGCTGAATTCCCACCAGCTGGCATCCAAGGTCCGCTCCATGGGAACCAAGCTTCAGTCTCAGCAGGATCAGCTGGGCTGCATAGGCCAGAGCTTGGGTCTCCACAGGAGGGAAGTTCTCAGCTACCCCCTTAGTGGCTGTGTGAGCACCAACAATTACCTACACAATACAGCCAGGCCTTCGAAGGGCCTGCAGGAGTAATTGCAGTAATGGTATAAATAGGCCTATTTACTGGGAGCACAAGTAATAATACAAGTTAGCAACATTACCAGATGAGCTATTGTAGCTCCTCCTAATATAAAATCTGAAATATAGACGATGCTTTTATCAATGGCAAAGTTAGTCATAACAGCACAGGCCCTGGTAATACTGTGGGTGGGTCTAGGGCAGGGGTCCTCAAACTTTTTAAACAGGGGGCCAGTTCACTGTCCCTCAGACCGTTGGAGGGCCGGACTATAGTTTTAAAAAAAAAACTATGAACAAATTCCTATGCACACTGCACATATCTTATTTTGAAGTAAAAAAACAAAATGGGAACAAATACAATATTTGTATTTGCATGTGGCCTGCGGGCCGTAGTTTGAGGACCCCTGGTCTAGGGTAATATCCCTTGATTTGACTGGTATTATCTGGAATAGAAGTAATGCAGGTTTGTTTTTTTTAATCTCACCCAAGGACCTGTTTCCATTGATTTTAGAGGGAGAGGAAGGGAGAGAGAAACATGGATTGGTTGCCTCCCGAACACCCCCACCGGGGAAAGAACCCACAACCTAGGTATGTGCCCTGACAGGGAGTCCAACCACAACCTTTTGTTGCTTGGGATGATGCTTCGACCAAATGAGCCACCCAGCCAGGGCAAAGTGATGATGACAACAAAATTGATGGCAAAGCTCTTGGTCCTCTTAGAACCATGTGGGCAGCGCTATTCTGAACATACCTGGGGGAAGAGAGTTCCAGCTCCTGGCCGTTCTAGGAAGGAAAGCAGGAGTGGTACCCACGTAGGGCCTCTTGGTAAACGCCTCCCAGGTATAACCTGAACTTTGAGAAAAATGCTGTTTACTAGATATTGCACTGATGAGGAACCCGATGTTCAGGGAGGTCAACTCACTTGACCAAGGTCACAACAAGTGCGTGCCAGGGTGGGATTCCAGCTCCAGCGGGCGCCGGGATCGCCCGCTACAGCGGCTCCTATCGGCTGTCCTGCGGCTACGGGAGGTGGAACCTCACTGCAAGGCAGCCGGGGGCTGATACCGTGACGAGGTCGGGGACAGCGCGCGCAGCAGGGAGGACGCGAGGACCTAGAGGGGCGTTCCCGTTAGCCGGCGGACTCCAGGGGGCTGCGGGTCCTAGGCAAGCAGCGGTGGGGGTGCGGGCGGGGGTGCCGGCGCAGAGAACGAGAGGGTGGCAGGGGCTGCAGG